AAAAGTTCGCCAGGGCCACATCGTAAATCTTTGAGTTTACGATACCCTTTGACTAACTATATGTCACTCTCCAGCCACGGTGCGAATGTTGATTCGTACTCCCGGGCCACTTAGCTCTAACAGTTTGGAAACTTCCTGACTAAATATTGTGGTATCCGATTCGTTATCTAGCAAGGCATATACCTTCAACGATTTAACGCCATTCATTATCTTTACTCGGTCTATTCCGAGGTAAGTACTATCATTCGGTACGGAACAGGAATCCCTCATTTTTTATTGCACATTCGCGGACGCTTCATCCCTAGGCGACAAGTGACACAAGCTAAGCGGCTTGCCGGTGCAACTATCAACCAAGCATTTATCATTTTCTTCACGTGTCCGCATCAGGTGTCCATATTTAATGCACTTATAACAAAGCTTTAATTTCTCCACAATTTTCTGTCGCTCCATCAAGTCCGACTTGAGGAAACCTTCACAGTTAGTAAGTGGGTGTGATTTCCGACACAAAGGGCACTGAAAGTTCTGCAATGATTCTGATGTTTTACTAGTTGTAGTGGCGTTCATATGCGCGTTACACCGAGGGTCCCAGGGGTGATTGTTCTCTAGTGAACGCCTTCCAAAAGAGCTGTTCTGAATACTCGATTCTGCTTCTACCATTTCAATAAAGTCGATAAACCGGTACCGTCTGCCATTGGATACGATCCTATCCGCCACTTCGGCCCACGTACGTTGTAAACATCTGGACAATCGGGTAATTGAGGACTCCAACGCAGGACCTGAATATTTTCTCGCTGACATGCCGAAGGACCACGGGCGACTCGATTGAAGCCCTCAAGATAGTCCAGGGGTTGTCTGGTATAGAACTAAGCATCCTCTTAGTTCCTGCTCCGGATTGCGGCACTAGAGGTCATAGACTTAAGATGCAGCGAGAGCAATCCATGTTAGAGTTGTGGGCCAGGTGTTTCACGAACCGTGTATTGCCTTTGTACAACAAACTCCTGGAGAAGGTCATAAGCTGCTCAACAGTGGTGGCTTTTAAAAAAGCACTTTGATCTGTGCTGGACCGCGGTATTTCCGGAGCTTACCACCTGAGAGGCGATAAACAAACAAGGTGTGTTCGTTCCTATATCTATGTATTTCATTTCATTCAGGTAGATGTGATACTGCACCTGAAAATTCTGCCTTTCAGAAAAAAAGCAGAGTGAACGTTTGACGCGCAGTGTTGGAAGCCAAGGCAACCAGCTGACAACACGATCCGGATGCACAATTGGTCTCGACCACTTTCGTCCTGTACAAACTGAACTGAACTGAATCCACGGTTTCAATTTATCCCACTTATTGAGCATCCCCTCACTTTGGGGAACAGTGGGGGAAACCCACAATCAATATTTGGCATTGCGACTACTGCGGCTTTGTCGCCCAGGGTGGCAGGGTCGCTTGTCCTGACAGAACCGATATAAGTGGTAGCCAGCGGATCCGCGTTTTCTTCCTCACCGCCCGAAAAGTTTTATTTACGAGGTCACACTCACCGTTATCTCGCCTGGTGTGGAGTTCCGTCAGTGCCGCTTTCAGTTGCATCCGCTCCTCGGGGGTGAGTTCACGCTGCAATCTGAACTTTCCCCTTTCAGGTGCGATGCATGTTGTAGGATGAGACGAACTTCCTCGTTAGAATAAAATACCATTTTCAGAAATCGGGAATTTCTGGCTACCGACGGACGACCTAGTCGGAAGGCGGATTTCACCCTGATGAAATTCACTAGTGCCGCCTCAGGGCCGTNGGCCGTGAATCACCTTCTACAGGCGGCCTTGCATAACTGTGGGGAGCTATTCATTGACTCCGGTAGGTTAAAGACGGTAATGCACTGGTCTCTGGATGGTATACTTGAACGATTTGTTACGGTGCCATCGATCTGAGGATAAAGTGCGCTTTCCACCGGTGTGTCCGCCGTCCGAGATCCACTAGATCAGAAAACATTTGC